ATACATTAATCACACCTGTCCTTGATGTAAAGCCACTGGGAGGCCATAGATGATTGTCCTTCCATGTAGCCTAACAGAAAGTGAGACAACATGAAGATTTTAAATATATTAGTATAGCATTTATTTTCATGTCGTCACCGTGGGGAAGAAAAACCTTTACAACACTGCCATGTAGACAGACCGCCTCATTCTATCGTTCAATGCTGAAGAGATCTCTAACCTAGAAGCCTTAAAAGTACTGGTCTAGCGGTCTAGCAATAAAGCAGACTTCATTTTTCAGCGTTCGGACGCAATTCAATTTACATTACATTTACATTTAGTTAATTAATTCATTTATTTAATTAAATCACGTGCGTATGTTCGCCCAATGCACTGTAAGTTATTACTATTCAAAAGCACAGCCTGCACCTCAATAACATTGGGCGAACGTCACGTTACGTGATTAATATTTATGACCCTGCCTTCGCTATAGTAGGATTGATACATTCGTGGGCGGGCTATCCTAGAATAGTCTGCAGATTAGAACAGTATCTTAGGTGGTTTCTAAACTAAATCAATCAACACAGACCCACTATATTAGAAGGAATGGAGGACACAAAGCCTGAGGAGACGAATGTGGAGGAGCAGAAAGTGAGTATATTTGAAGATTTTGAACTCAAACCGCTGCAGTCAGTCAGATTTGAGCTTTTCCGCTATATAACAGTATATACAGACTCGGGTAAGTCAGATCGAATCGAAGACACAGCGAATAAAAAGCGATTTTCGCATAAAACCTGCTGTAATATCCCTAATAGATGTGACTAATGCTTTATGCTCTGTCTGTTTAGTTTATTTGTATATTGTTCAAAGCTCTGCTGTTCACCACAAATGTATAAAGGCCTTCAACCATCAAATACCAATATTTTAATTGAATCTTAGAAACGACCAGCTTATTAAATCACCTGATAAATAAATAGCCATATATATATATATATATATATATGTTGAGATGTGATTAATAATAATAATGCTAGAGTTGGTTTGGTTTGTTTTGTTTTGTATTGGGTTGTGATGGTGTCAGTTAGCAGTTAGCACGTGAAGCTAAGTTTACTGTTGAACAGCATGCAATATATTGACCTTAAATGTGTTTTATAACTCGTCGCAGTGTGTGTGCATCAGCTGAGGGAGATGAGTATGGATTTACATAAAGAGCTTAGAATGACACAATTCTGAAGCACCATACAACGAACACAACTGCACCATGGTTCCATTGAAAATAATGAATACATTCCTAAGCTCCTAACAAGAGTCCAGTTAGTGCTGCCCTAAAATTGAAATGAAGTGAAATTGAAAAATGTTTTAGCGCTAATGATTTTTCCTTGTAGACATTGATTTATTTAAAAAAATAAGAAAATGATAATATTTAAATGAAATCTATCATTTGACAACTAAGCATTTTCACACAAGCTGTTGCTATCAACACGGCTCTAATTTGTCTTTTTTTTTTTTT